ACGAAGTGTGTGAATCCTCTGACCAAAACTAGCCCATAGCATCCCACCAGCCATAGGCTAAAGGAATTGCCAGACCAGATCAAATCAATGGTCTATCTAGTGCAGGATCCTGTTTCTTGTAGGAGGTAGTACCAGCTGCTTTAGAATATAAAGCTGCCATCATGGAAAAATGTGGAATAAATTGCTGAGGAGGAAGTTTCTTCCTAACGCTGGGTACTTAGTGGTTGGCTTATGCTTTGAACATGGGGATCTATGTTCCATATTTTCCTCTAATGTAAGCTAGGTTTACTGGCTGTGATTCAATAGACAGCTTCACCTCTCTCAAGCCTAACTATAAACACTCCTCCGCACTGTACCAGATACAGTTGCCTGTCATGGATACTCTGTCTTTACAAAGAGGTTGTCCACACTGGCCATCGCTTTACAAATGCCTCTTTATTTCTTCTGCCTTGTACTGCCTTTACTAAACAGTAAGTGCCCTGCCTCTGGGCTTTTGATACTAACTCACTGGTCTATAATGCACATAGTCCTCTTTCTCCAAGCTCTAACATCCTTTAGAAGAGTCTTAACTCCAGGACCATCACTTGATTATACAATGGCAAGCAGGACTGTTTTTTTCTTTTGCATTTATACCATCCTTAGGACAGTGGAGACAAATCCCCTTCCTTGGCCCCCTCTTATTGGCCTTCTTTTCCTAAGATATCCCCTCACCATCAGCCTTTGTAGCAGCTACCCCTGCTTCGTAAATTAAACCTCCCTCCCCAATCCAGCCTCCAGGGTCAGCAGTGTAGATTAAATCACCGCACACTGGGAACATGGCCACTTTTGGTAACCAGGAGAGAATGGAGCAATGAAGGACATCTCAAATTGTTTGTCTCTGAGTTCAGCCCCTCTGCAGCTGCAGACTCAGCCTTCTTCTGGCTTACACCAGAGCCCAGAATGGAGGCTGGCTGTGGACTCCCATGCAGGGGTGCTTCAGCTGGTGGATTAATCAGTGCACAGGAGCAACCCTTGCGGGCTTTGCCTCTCTCAGAGCAACACTGCTTCTGTCTCCTGTACTAAGTCAAGGTCCTTTGACTCTCAAACATAGACACACTAGACTTTCCCCTCCCAGAGACCTCTCTAGAAAGTACAGAATCGCAGAGAACATGAAGTCTCCAGTAACCAATAGCTTTCGCAGAGGACCGTAGGTAGGAGATGCAGAACTTGAGCTTGTTCAGCATCCTGACTCTGACCCTTCATGCCATCAAGTCACATCACATCCTTCTTCCAATTAAATAGGGTAAAAGCATACACCCCGCTCACTTAATGGATCACATCCATCACTAGGACAAGCCCATTAGGGCCAATAGTTGCAACAGGGATGGATTTATGAAGCAGGGGAACAAATCGTAGTGGTTCAAGTGAAGCAACTGATGTGCCTGCCAGTCAGTAGCCCTAAGGGTTTCAGAGCAAGTCAGGCTGAGCCTTTGGGCATCATTTCACATCAACGCACCAATAATGTCCCTAACGTTTTCCCATCCGCATCCAACAGAACTCTCTCTCTCCTGTATCAGCTGCGAGCCTCCACTGGAAGGGGCAAGGTGCTCCCAAAGAAGATGTAGCAACTCACAGGCAAAAAGTGTAAATTTTTGTTTGGAAAAAAAAAAGCAGCATCAGGAAAAATCTCAGCATGAAGAGAATCTAAAAAGCGGGACAGCGAACGCTACACCTCCTCCTTCCCCCCCCCCCACCGCCTGGTCTATTCATGAGCTCAACAAAAAGCTTCTTTAGGTTCATACTGTAAGTCCATTGAGGATGAAGGCGAGCGAGCCACTCACACACTCTCCCCTTGTACACACAGACGGAGCCCGCAGATCTGCTCTGCACACACAGGCTGAGCTGTTCTGCTCTCTCACAAGGAGGCACTGAGTTTTTCAAAGTAAACTGTAAGGTTTCCGTTGTTGCACTGGGCTCGTGTGTGTGTGTGTGTGTGTGTGTGTGTGTGTATGTATACATATATTCTTTTCCACCTCGGACCTATACACACACACACACGGAAAAAGAGAGGGAGCAGTTATATATAAATGTGTGTGTGTATATGTATATATACATAGCATGCATATATAATATCATTTCAAGAGAGCAATATCTATCTATCTATCTAGATAGATAGATAGATAGATAATCAAATGACTGCTCCCTCTCTTTTTCTTCTCCCCGTCTCACTCTTTAAATGGCCCTGAATGTTCTGAGCTGCTCTGCAGCAGTTGAGCTTTGGCACTGTATGTGGTCCAGACCCAGCTATGAACACGGCTTTTGTTGCTGCTGCTGGAAGCCTGGCTGTGAACTGCACACACTGGCTGGTTTGTTTCACACATGGAGGTGGAAATGGAGCAGGGGGAAGGGAAAGAGGAGCCTGGGCAAGGCTGGCGTCATCTTGTAGTGGCAGAGCACCCTGCTCCAACCCAGCAGGGGCGAGAGGGCAGGCAGGGAGGGGGAGGGGAAAAGAAGGGAGAAAGGCACCTCAAGTAGCTAAGAAAGATCCCGCTGGTTTTTAAAATGGGACAGCGAGACGGAGCGGTTAGCCACAGCCCCTGCAGCAGGCTGCCAGGGTGGGGTCCTCAGCTCGTGTAAATCAGGAGAGTTCCTTCCCCCAAAGTCTGATGAAGCAGCTGAGATCAGGGGAGCTTTGCTGAACTACTGTAGCTAGGGATCTGCCACAGAGAGGAGAGGAAGAGAAAGCCCAGTAGCAGAGCATATTTGGTTTCAGTCTCACTGAAGGTACTGGTTGCTATTTCCCAGACATTCGGCTAGTATATAGATCCCTGCTCCTAATCAGAGCAATGGATTATCTACATGCTGCTCTGGTTTCCCTCTCAATGCAGAGTCACCTTGTCTTACTGGGCCTGGTTTAAATGAAACCAGCCATTCTTTTTCATTCATGTTTCAATAACATTTTAGAATGAGGACCTGCTATTTGCCCTGAAGATGCAAAGCCTTTGATGACCAATAACTTTAATACCCCTTTCCAGTTAGTCTCTCTCGTCACTCCCTCGCTTTCCTATTTGCTCAGCTCTCCTCCCCCACTGGTCCTCCAGCCCTGGTGCTGCTGTCAAATGCCACTGCTGTATGTGGAGCTGATTACAGGAAACATTAAATAGCAATTCAAGTGGAACAGATGGAAGTTCCCCCCAAAGGCCATTTGGGCTCTGAGAACACTTTGCCTGTGCGTGTAAATCTTCAGACGTCTCCATCTGCCTGAACCGACCCACCATTCAAAGCTAACCTGCAAGAAACTTGTGAGCAAGCAACATCGTTGCATCTGCAGCATGTTTGCCCCTCCTGTGGTCTCTGACACCAGCTTGAAATGTCTCAGTGAAGGGGGAAATATCCACTTTGATCTATTGCTCTAGAGACAAAACGAGTCTCTCCACTCATAGCCAGCATGGAAATGCCATATAGAAACAAAAGTTACGTGTGAGGAAATGGTCGCTCCAAGCAAACAGCAATGATTAAGGAGCGAGAATTATCTGAGAAACTTTTGACTGACCCAAGTTAGCTTCTTCGGGTGTTAAAGCCGTAATGAGCAACTCCAGCTGGAACTGAGACACGGGCTCAGTTCTCAGATGTCTAAAAACTATTTAGGTGAGCGTCACCCGTAGTTAAGGATCCTGAAATATCTATTAAAATTAACCCCCCAAATGAGTGTTTAGTCCCCCCAGAACCGAAGCCCCGTTCCTCAAGTGTACTGCCAATAGCTGAATACAAATGAATAAGGAATGAAGAGCCTGAGGAAGGTTCAGATACCCTCCCCTTCCCTCCTACCCCCTGCTATTTTCCTTTGCCAATCCTTCCTCCTTCTTGCAAAGCAAAAGGAAAGGCATTTGCTAAAAACTAAAAATTTGAAACTACAGCCTTTATTTCTTGGCTAGGAAACTCCAAGTTGAGGGTCAAGGTAGAGTAAGCTTTCCACAGTGCATGGCAGAATGATTGTTCTTTGGCATCAGATAGAGATGCAAACTCTCCTAAGTAATGAATGAACTCGGGGAGAAAGTGCTGATGTTGTTAAGGGACAAGAGGGCAGTGGGGAGAAATTCTTATGAATGCACAAAACCTGCTCTCCCTACAAGTGGCGGCTCAAAAGTGCTCTGGCCGTGAGTTCACTCACAGGTACTTCGAGATGTTCTGAACAGCTCTACCCACTCTCTCCCTAGAGGGGCTGTCAGTCGCTCTCAGTGGATCATGATTCTTGCAGAAGAAGGGATGAGCTCTCAAAGCTTCAAGGATGAGCTGCTATACCAGCCAGGCCCCACTCAGAGTTAAACATTCATTTCACTAACCCCCCCACCCCCTTCCTCTCCCCTCTTTGTCTTCCTTATAACCAGTTAATTATCACCACTACCCTAGGAAACCAGCATGAGCAGTTTCTCTTTCCCAAAGCACTTGTCATCAGTGTGAGAACTGTCCTCGGTGCCCAACTGCCCACTGAAATCCATCAGAAAGCAACATCAATTCTTTGGGGGTCATTTGGGGGTAGATGGGGGGAATCTAATCCCCCTCCCTCCTCTTCTCCACCTGTTTAATTTTGGCCATGCATTCTTTATAACCAGCTGCCTCTTTTTTTTCTGGCCAAGAGAACTAACAAACTTGACACATGGCTGCAGCTTTGGGCTATAAGCTTACTGTGCACAAGCCTTAATGGGATCAGTTGTTGGCAGAGGCCAACAGTGCTAAGTAGCTTTGCTAGCAGAGGAGTACTCCTGGCAGCCTCCAACACTGTATATATTCCAGGGAAACTTCACTTTTGCAGGAGCTGTGTGTGCATGTGAGTGGGATTTCTCAGAGGAGTTTGGGATCAAGCACTTCAGCAACTTCCTCGCATTCCCCTGCCCACTGCCCACCAGGGAAACAACCAATCCACATATCTATACACTGCATCCCTAGGGACACTGAGAAAAGAAAAAGAACGGTTAAAAAACATGAAGACAGCGACGATGGATGAACGTGCTATACGTTACCTTTAACAGTTCAGTGCAGTGCTTCAAGAATCTAAGTCCCATACACCTGGCAGAGAAGTTAGGGTGGTTTTTTTTTTCTCTTGTGTGTGTTTGTTTCGTAAGGAAAAAGTGGGCCACTTCTTGCTCTGACTGTATGTCTTCTTCACAACCTCCAGATGGGTTTTCCTGCCTTTTTAGTTTTGGTTCCCCAGAAGAAATCAAAATTCCTTGTGTGGTGTGTCAGGTCCCTTTCAGGCAGTGTGGCAGAAGCAGCAGCAGGCTTGAAGAGTACTATATGTGAGTGTGAAAAAAAGAGAGAGGGTTTTCAGCATCAGACCACGTTTAGCTGCCACAGGCTGTAAGACAGACCTTTAGACTCCTCCTGTCAGCCTCTTTAGATACCTCCTGGAAGAGCTGGCAGGCTAAGTGTATTGGATCCTCCTCTGAAACTCTCAGAGCAAAGGTAGGCAGGCATCCAGGGGAAATAACACATAGGCAGGGGGGAAATAGGAGGGCTTTAGGACAGACAGGGAAGCCCTGCCTCTTGGATGGGAGGGTAGGGGGAACAGAAAGAACAGAAAAGAGGAAAAAAGATGACTAAACAAACTGCATATAAAGAAAACTAAATGGGCAGGAGGAGTAGGGGAATCAAGGAGGCTGGGCTCTGTAAGTGGCTGAGAGAATAGAAGTAGTTCAAGTAATGAGAAGAGAAGTGTGTGTGTGTGTGTGTGGTGGGGGGGATTATGCAAAATAAGAGAAGGTAAAGCTAATTAAGGGACCTGAGCAAAGCGGGTGAGAGTGTGTGCGCCTGCAATGCAGTCAATACCACTGCAGTCTGCCTGGGAGTGAGCAGACTTCCTCCGAGCAGCTGAGACCGGAGAGGGCTCAGACCCAGCACCACTTTACAAAAGTTTGGAGCACTCCAGGGTGGCTGGTCTGTGTGACTGAGCAAGAAGAGTGAAGGCTGGGAGGAGAGTCAGGCCAGTGACAGGAGGTCTACGAGATGCTGATGAGAGAATAAACCCATTCGAAGTCTGCATGGAATAAAAGAGGTGGGAAAAAAGCTGAGCTAGCAAGAGCTTGGCAATGATGGGGAATGAAGCAGCAACCAAAAACCTCAAGTAGGCTCTAATAAATGCAGACTTAGTCCTCAGCTATTCTGATACCATGGGGAAAGTGGTGAGGACACAAAAGATTTTAGTGCATTTTCACTAGGTTTCTCGCCTCTGAGTGGAGGGTAAGTGTTAGCAGCAGGCACCTGGGTTCTCTGGGTGGATGCGATGGATGTGCTTTTGCAGATTTAAACCTTGGCCTATAAATGGACTGGGTGGTGGATGGTCAGTGGTGGGACTCAGTACTGAGCTCGCAATGCCCCAAGTACCATACTGGCAGCAAAGACCTATGGTTTGATGCCATGGCTTGGGCAGTACCTGCTCTTGTAAAAATGAACAACTCCTCTGAGCAAGAAGAGGCACAGAGAGCCCATTTCCCTAAACTGTTAACTGTTAAGTCATTACATTAAGCACCTTAGGGGGAAAGCACCTTAGTTGGTATTGGCGGTGTGATTAGGAGTGTCTGGAGTAATAAGAACAGCAAATGCATGAGTTCAGTGGGAATAATTTTGTGGGCTGAGCTGCATTTGAATCTCTGGATCCCAAAGACCAGTGCAGTACTTTATCCTCTTCTGCAATGGCTAACCGCACACTTTCCCTGCTGAGTATAAGGTTGGTGCATCATACACCCTACCCGCCCTTGCATAGCCACAGGCACCACTTCTCAACCTTCTCCCCCATTTGTCCCTTTTGACTTAGTATTAAATATCTGCCTTTCCCTCGGTTCCCCACACCCTCCCTTTGCTTTCCAGTTTTACAACACAATCATTTTTCCTCCCTTCATGAATTATTTTTTGTCCCATCCCTCATTTCAAAACCTGCCTCCTTGTCTGTTTCACATTTAAACTTGATGTCCAGAGTCATCTCACCATGCCCGTGCCCTTTCATGGGTTCTGTATATCCATCATCCCGACAGCTAATGTTCTCAGATCACAGAGCATGGAGACACACTTCTTTAGGCGACCTGCTTATCCATGAGTAACTCCTCATGTCTTGAAGGCAGATTTAAGGCTAAATTATTTCCTCCACTTTTTCATCAATGCAGTGCCAGGTTTTAATTTAAACAACAGCTATTTCCTGGGTTCCTTTATATTAGAGATTAAAGGGGCACCAAGAGGAAAGGTGTTTAGTAATTATTAGAAAAGCACGAGCTGGAATAGATTGCAACTCCTGCATTTTTTGTTTCCTGTTTCTTCTCCCAGCAAATCTCTATGAATTCTCTATGTCTAAAGACAGTCTAACTTGCTATCAATGGGGAGCCTTTCCACTAAAGTGATGGGCATTGCATGAGGCCCAGAGATGGCAACTCTGAGATCAACATAGCTGCTAAGCAGAGTAAATCAGCCCATATGGGTCACCTTGGTCTCATGGCTACACTACTCCACCACCCAAGCTACCTCAGGTACCTCTACACTACACTGCAGTGTATGTCATAGACATGCATTGACTCTCATCAAGTCTGTTCAGGCTGCATGGGCAGGCGTTGCTAGTTGGGTGATAGCTGGATGTGAGCAAATTGGGGTAGGGTTCACTATTTCAACAGTGCAGTGGAGGAGCATGGAGGAAGATCTCATAAACCTAGATTGATGTAGTCCTTGTTCCGCCCACCTGTTACCTGTAAGCCTGCTCTAGATTTTTGTGTCTTTCAAGAGTATAACAAGGCTGTCACCTCTCACTCAAATGCAAGATTCAACACTTTCTTACTGTAATAGAAATGATTCATCAAGAAATGTACCAGATCTTTTTGGCTTAGTTGTGATTTGGTGATGAGAAGCCCATTTAAACCATTAGAAGCCAAAGCAATAAAGAAAATTCCACTTTTGAATGAGCAGTGGAGAAACAAAGTTTCTGTTTGCAAAGGGCTTAATTAGCAATTTTGGAAAAGGGAAATGAACTGTTAAGCATCTGTGGGCTTCCCCAATTCCAGATTGGCAGGAACACATGATAGATTAACAGCAGAATTGTTTCACAAAAGCTGGGATTTAAAAATTGCTGGTTTTGATCATTGTTTAAAAGGAATTGCTTGGCTAATGGCTATATTCCCATTTACCTTTTGGAATGGCTAGAAGAAAAGTGAAATGAAAGCTTTTTACACTGGGCAAACTTGAGGTTTGTGCAATATTTGTGCAAAAGCAGGCCTATTTCAAGCAAGGGCAGCTTTTCCACTTCCATGAAGAATTCTGCCTGGTGAGTGGCAAAGGCTTTGATTTAAAAGAGGGCTGTAATTCGAAGAATGAATCATTTAGGAATAATAGATTGGCACTGTGAACTGATGAATATTCACGTCCCACAATATGAAAACAGCCATTGTACTGAAAAAAGAAATGAAGGATTTCCATCTTGGACACAACAGAGATGCCTATAGAATAATACTGAATTAGTAAATGTGGTAACTGGTCTCAGTTTCTCAAGAGCACCTACAGGCAGAGCTCTGGGTGATTTTACAAAACTTGGTTCTGAGACCTGAGAGAGACTGTCCTGCATTTGAAGGCTTGTCTAACTTTATCCAAACTACATAGTTAGCCCAATAAAAGACATCTCCATAAGAACTCCTTGCCTTTTTACAAAGATCAGAATACACAAGATGCAACCATTACAGTTATCAAACTGCATAAAAACCAACAGTTCCCTAACACCTCACACAGCCCTCACTGTTTGTATCCTCCCACCCCCTTGTTTATTCCAGGGGAAAAAGGGATCTTTGTTAAATTAATTAAGCTGGGTACTGGTGGATTGAAAAGGGGTAGACTTTTAGTATAAATGGTTCCTTCTAAAAATGACATGCCCCAGCCTCCCTCTCTTCCCTTTTTAATGAGGAAGCTGCTTGCTTGAGTGCAAGCTACATCATATGGGGTCGGGACATATAGTGCAAACCAGAGATTCTGTCTATCAGTGAAAAGGGATTGATGGCATTCAACTAGGTCCAGATCCAACAACCCTAGCTTTCACCCCACTGCGGCCAAGACTCAAACCCACCTGACCTCTGGCAGCTATTCTGTCATGGGGCATCCCTATTCTTCAGACATCCCCAGCTGTGCTAGTGGTGTGCCTCAGCTGGAAATCACTCACACTGACATCCCAGTGGTCCGTGAGCTGATATCAGCAGCCCTCCCACAGTTAGTAGGGTTCTGGCCTGTTGAGAGTCCCCAGCATTGCTTTGATGCCAGTAGCCTCCATTGCCCCAGTCCCCAGGACCCCATGCAATCCAGCCCTTCTGGGCTGGTGCCCGTTGGCAAAGGTAGATTCTGTCCCTGAGCCATGGTGCAGCTTTGATTTTTCTCATTAAGAACATCACCTTTTGCCAGTAGGGAAGAATTATTGGAAGAGAGTCAGTTACCTCTCTGTTTCAAGTCCCCGACATGTGCTTCATTTACCATTTGTACGACAGCTACTGCATTTTAAATGTTAATTAGTAATTACAAAAGATTTATGGTGGCTAAACAAGGCTGGTACTAAGAAGGTGCAGTTCCCTGCCTGTGAAGTACAGAGGAGGCAGAAGGGAGAGCCCCAGAATGTAAGATCCGATAAGAGGTCATTGTAAAAAGGAATAAATAGTCTATGGGAAGCCCAGGCCTTTTGGGTTTTTGCCTTTCACTTAAGTGTTTCTGTCCTTGGCAGCTGAAAGTACTTTGCAAGCATTCATTAAATAGGAATTATAGGGTGCATCTACACGTGCATATATGCACACCTAAATGTAATGCACATTTGCCTAGTGCGCATTAAGGTATCTACATGTGCACATGCTAAGGTTTATTAACACGGTGTGCGGACCAACTTGGACTAATGTTAGTCCCAAGCCAGTTGACATACACAGCGTTAATGTGCCTTAGTGCATGTACACATGTATTAAGGCATTTTAGCTACTTGCGCCTAAATTTGATACCTGCTTTTGCAAAAGCAGGTATCAAATTTAGGTGTGAATAGCTTAAAATTGCCATTTTAAGGCACTTTAAGAGAGTGTATGTGTAGACCCATGCCTTTAATGCACCTTAAAATTGGTGAATGTGCCTTAAATTGGCATGCATAGATGTACCCATAGAGTCCCTATAATAAACACTTACTATGCAGTGCTTTGCCACCTTATTTCCTACTGTAAGGTACTTAGTGTGCTATGTAAATAATATCCATGGGGAACAGAGACTATCTCTACACAGCAAATTCACTGTGCATCAGAGTAGCACCATTAAGCAACCTGTGTTGCTCTGGGAGGGTGCTTCCTGAACTGGAAGCAGTGTAGCTATACGGGTGTTTGTACATGTGATGGGGGTTTAATTTCCAAGGTTTTATTTTATGCCCCCTAAACTGAAATGGTACGTTTTTAATTGAAGCCCACCATTTCAACTTTTCCGTCACATTATG